CCCTAGAAAAAATACAGCTAATCCACCCCCCCACACTGGTTTGATAGTCACCACTAGGTAGATTATCAGGTAAATATTTTTTGTATAAATGTGTTGTTGGGGCCAGCAGGTGGCATAGACTTTGGGGCACTGGACTCCCACATGGTGGAGCCTGGTTCGAGTCCCAGACCTGGAGGCATGCTTTCCCACTTTCCCTCTCTGTCTTGCTCTCTCTAGTGAGTGTATCAAATTTTAAAAATAATAGTAATGATAAATAAAATTAAATAATTCTTTTTTTAAAAATGATGTGTTGTTGCCAAGAATCTCTAATGACATTCTGCCTTAGGTATTCCGGGGAAAGGCCATCATTATTTCATTCTGGGAGCTGAAGGAAAAAGTTAATGTGACAGGGTTCTATTTGGTATGACAACTTTCCTGGCCTCCCACTTTACATCCTTCCATGCTCTGGAACCTTAGGACTTTTGGAAGTTCTAAAATCGAACCTCTCTCATCAGTCAAGCTTAGAAAATAAGGCAAATGACTGGCGTTCGGCGCGTGTGCGCGCCCACGGTCCCGACAGAAGAATGGAGAAGGAACTGTCTCCCTGGGGGTGATTTTTACTTTCTTTCTGTCTCTCTCTGGTGACTGCACAAGCTCTATGGCAACAACCTAAAAAACTTTTATATTTTAAGAAAAAAGGCAAATCAGCAAAAGAAATTAGGAATTTCTGTAGTCTGAGCCTATTCATAGTAAAATGGAGGACTTCGCCAACAAACTGCAACTCCCAAGAAGCACTGAGAGGGAAGGCGGACGTCACTATTCCTCTCTCTCTTTCTGCACTTTCAGTCGGAAAGTGGCGCTCACACTGAAATAGCGTCTTCATCATACAAAATTGGTATCTTCGACTCAAAGCACTGTTTTCTAAGAGAACGTCTAAGCCAATCGCTCACCTGGTACTAGCTGGCCGAAAACCATCGTCAACTCTCATTGGGTAGCCCCGCCCCTGGGGAAAGGGCGGGATAAAGGAAGTGACGACACCGAGAGCGCCCTTAAATACCCATAGGCGGAACTCAGATTCTCTCTTGGCCTTAGCGCCATTTTCTCGGGTGAGTGTTTTTGCAGGCTGTGTTCGCTGTCCGCGTTCAATCCATTGACATCTGACCTCTGCGTTTAACCATCAGCGCAGTAAACTAACTGTGGCCTTTTTCTCTTTCTCCATAGACACCTCCGCGCCATGAGAGCCAAGGTGAGCAGTCTCTAGCAGTGAACTTGAGAAGTTAGGAGTTTAGGGGGGGAGACCCAGGCAAGGGAACCCCACCAGGGTTCCCAAACTTGGAGAGGATTGTTGGAGGAAAAGTAGAAGGAGTCATTTATGTGCTGTGGGGAGAAAAAGCATGCGGAATTAGGGTTTTACGTCGGGGAAGTGGGTCCAGGTTATTGAGATGAGATTGCTGCAACCAAACCCTCGGTTTAAGAACCTATTAGAATCGAAATAGTGCCCTACATAACCCTACCCAAGCTTCTTAATAAAACTGATCTCTTTATCCTTGTCTCTTATGATCGATCGCTAGTGGAGGAAGAAGCGAATGCGCAGGTATGTTGAGACTTGCCGCCCAGGAGGAGGGAAGTGGAGTGTGTCTTCGGCAAAATTGAGCGTGGATTTTGGTTTGGAAATATAAAATGAGGTTTTTCTTAAAGAACAGAACATTAAGAGCACTCTGCCTTGTCAGAGATAAGGATTAAATATAGAACAATAAAACCATAATGCTAGTTTTACCGCCGTGTGTGTTCTGTGCATGTTTGATTTAAGACGGGAGGGAAAAACAACTAGTTGGGCAGAAGGTTTTAGTCCTATGTCTGTTTCAGGCTGAAGCGTAAAAGAAGAAAGATGAGGCAGAGGTCCAAGTAAACAGCTTGTGCACCTATGGAGGCCACCGCAGCGGAAACGGAATGTCGGAGGCTCGGGGCGCTGGTACTGGTTGGACTACGCGATACTGTCGACTCTGCCTCTGGATCTAGAACGTCCATGGCCAGCGGATCGCAAAGACCTGAGAGATCACGTTGCTCCTAACAGAACAGCCCCCGTGGTCCTTTTCCCTGGGCCTGTGACATTCTGGGACTAATGCTGTACTTGTGGCCGAGTGTAATACGTGTACAATAAATCATCTTTTCTGTAATAGCTGAAGAATCAGACCGTCTCGTCTGTTAAGTGTTTTTTAGGGTGCCATTGGGTGGGGATTCTCTATCAGTACACTGCCTTTGTCGTGGAGGACTTCAAACTACATAATCAACAGCTTAGGGTGGTCATGTGGTTGCGGCTGGGGAGTTAAATGTCGGGAGCGTTTCAAGGTGCTTGGGCAAGTTCCCTGGCAGGTGCCGACCCCGCCCCTACACATTTGAGGCCTATATTGCCGCATTGCATTTTCTAGGTTCCTTGCGATGCTTTCGGGCGAGGTTGCTATGGTGATACGCAAAGCTTGCTGGGAACTTCCTGCGGCTTGTCGCACTAGTGCCTCGTGCACCATAGAGTATAGTTCCGGGTCTGGTGGCTAGAGCGTCGGTTCTTCCGCAGGAAGCGGCAGAGCGGTGGGGGGGGGCGGGCTT